AGAAATTGTTTAAATAACTAAGAACTATTGTCAGTGATAAGAATTTGATTAATTTAGTATTTAGTAATTTATTCATTATTTATTTATTTATATAGTGAGTGTATGTTTTATATTGTAGTTTATTTCAGGAATGCGGATGCTACGGCTACAACTCTTGATTCAGAGGGATGGTTGAAGACTGGAGATCTTTGCTACATTGGTGAAGATGGTTTCATTTTTATAGTTGACAGGTTGAAGGAATTGATTAAATACAAGGGATATCAGGTATTGATCAATGATTCAAATTTTGCCCAATTTAGTTAAGTTAGGGGCTTGGTGGCTTTATTTTTTTTAAATTTACAATCAAGGTATTCTAAGTTAATTTTCATACAATTCAAAACTATTTCCTCTTTGCAATTTTAAGAATACATCCTCACATCAACTTATTTTATAAGATAATATTTATTTATTAATATATTTAACTTTTATGCTTCAAAACTTTCTTATTTATAAGCGCTCTTGTATCTCTTAGGTTTGAAATTTTTAGAGGGAAATGGAGATTTTTAACAACAAAAATTCTTGTAAGAAGGTTTTTGCGAAGCACCAGAAAAATAGCCCTACCAAAGCAGCCATTAATCGATTAACGTACATGGTAACAAAACTAACTTTAATGGTTGTCCCGTGATCACCTAAAGGTCCCTCCTGCAGAACTAGAAGCCTTGCTGCTTACTCATCCTGATATAAACGATGCCGCTGTCATACCGTAAGTCTCATTATGTTCTAATCAACATTTAGTTTGGTTTTCTTTGCTGCAGTCTGATTATCCCGTTTTGTCAGGTTCCCTGATAAGGAGTAGGGGTGGCAATTTCCCCCGATCCCCGCGGGGTCCCGCGGGGATCCCCATCCCCGTGAAAAATTAAAAAAATAATTTAAATTAAATTTAATATTTAAAATAAAACCCAAACCTAACCCAAATCTAACCCAAACCCAATTCAATAAAAATTAAATTTTACCCAATCCAACCCAACCCAACCCAAGTATCCAACCCAACCGACCAACCCATGTTACCCAATACCCATCCGGCCAACCCAACAATCCATTCCAGCATCCTCTCCTTAGTCTTTACAAGTTCTAACCCTAATTTCATAACTTCAACTTTATTCATTTCCCCTCATTTTCTCCTCACTCTGTCACTCACGCAAGCAGCCACAATCCCTCACTCACTCTTGGTCTCAACCGAACAATCAACCTCTCAAGTCTCACCTCACCTTCAACCTTCCTCTTCCCTTCTTGCTGCTGCAGATCTACTACATATCTGTTGTTGGAGCTGCTAC